ACATCGACCTTGCTCTTTCTTGCTCTTTTTCAAACGATTTATCAAAAATGTGTGTAAAATCCATTAAATTGTAGTTTTGGGTAGCGCTTTATCCTCAAGAATCACACCTTCCTACACATTGTGTACCTCGAGGTGTACCTATATACCTACCTATTCAAAATCGAAGGGAACAAAATCATTATATTAAAATATAAAAAATCGCGATATAACATTCCAGTCTCAACAATAAATAATCCGAAGGTAAAATATTATGTTATCAAAAATCTCTAAACCTTCCCCATATAGTATTTCAACCCCCATTTCGAGGAACGATGGATCCAACTCAAAAAAAAAAAAAAAAAAAAAAAAAAAAAACCGAAGGTAAAATCCTAAAACAAATTTTGCATAAATTAATAAAAAGCCATTTCCCTTATGATTACTTCGTTACCAAAGCAATTAAAAAGGCAAGATTATTTTGTCATATATACATACATTTGCGGTATAGGGAGTGGGTTACATATTTGCTTTGGCAATTTTAAATAAAAAGACAATTTTGCCAAAGAAAAGAGTATAAACCGACTATAGCCTATACCCAAACATGCAAATAATAATATAATTGCGATATACATTGGTTTTACCTTTATTCGTGAATTTAATTAGGTAGCAAGAAAACAGATTAAAAAGTTAGTAATTAATAGCTTTTGTGGTTTCTTGTTCTTTACATGTTTCTTTACTCCAGAAGTACTGAATTGCACAGCAGATTAATTGACCTCGTAATTAAATTGGGAACCATTTCCGCCTAAAGTATAAAAACATGTATCCAATTTCCTTGAACTTCCCTTCAATTGTTCATTACGATACGATATAGTTGTTACATTGAAATTCAATTTAATAAAATCACGACTTCATGACAGTTTAATATTTTTCCATTTTGTAATAGGAACCGTCTCGCTCACCAATCTTAATCGCTTATGAATCGATGCCAGTCAATCGACTTTGATTTAAAAATTAGCAAATTAAATTGAGGGAATTTTAATGTATGAAAATGTGGAGTCTCGAAATGTGCCGTACCGGAAGTAAAAAGTTCATGGCCCCAGAATAATAAATAAATCATTGTAAACAGTGGGTTTTGAGGTTCATTTTGATCGACTTGGGTATGGTCCTACACTGGTAGGAGAACTGTTCCCAATTAAAAATCCACACTGCTTCTCTTTCTCCTCTGAGCGAGTTGATGCACGTCATCAAATAGTTCAGTTCATAATAAATGTAGTCCGTGCAAAATCTAACAATTCACGTTAACCATAAATCGCAGTTCCAAAATAAAATTTATGTATGAATTTAGAAACGTACCTTAATCTAGAGAAACGCAATACAAGTATCTACAGAAGATTTCCTATCTTATCAAATGTTAATATAGTCGCTTTGTCTCTCGAATGAAGATTTTGTACGATGCGTTTTTAGATGATTAGCTGCATACACAGTTTACCATTTATATTTAAAGGATATGATACAAAACTGTATCGTGGATCACACCCCTAAGTAGCTATTCTAATTTATTGTTTATTAGATTGACATTATAGCGTAGTTTGGGCAAGTGAAAAGTGTAACTTGGAAAAGAGGCCTATGAATAGATTATAAAAAGGTTCAAACAAATATGTATAGATGGTTATTTTGGAAATACCTACTGGAAAAGGAAATACAGTTGACAGGAAAGGAAAACTTAAGGATTTTCTTTGTAATTTTCCTCGTGTAATTTTTGGGGAGCGAGTAGGCGGACCGCGGAATTAACTTGTGGTTGGCACTTTTGAGCGAGATTGTTAAATTACTTTAATGAATGTTGGTTGTCTTCCGAGTATCGGGTGTTGAAATTGAAATTGACCAATAAACGCAGCAGGACACTCGTAGCAAGTATGTTTGGAAACCCTCGCCTTTCGAAGTAAAGTGATTTTTTGATATATTGTAGGTATATATTTCTATATATTTAAGTAATATTAGCCACCTTTGATTGTATTACCTATATAAGTTCTTTCCCATTCCATACTTTTAATCATGAATCAAGTTAATTGGGTAATCGTTTGTGAAACTGAGCAAATGTAGCTAGCAAAGAACATACTATACCTAACTTTAAAAAGGAGCAATTTCAAACTATTTAGCAATGAAATCCGACGAAGACGAATTTCAAAGAAGAAATTTGTGGAATTGTTTAGTGATACTTAACTGGAATACCTATTCATAGTTTTTCCACATAGAAACACCAGTCAGTTGGATGTATAGGTAAATAGATAAATGATGTTTTTTTAATTAATCTTATAATTAGGGTCTAACATTCAGCCCCAGAAAATATGATTAATTTTTCTGTGAAAGTTGCACTAAATTCTTGGGAGAAACCTCATATTTATATACCGGCGATATGAATATAAAAGTTTGGTATGTCATTTTAAGAATTAAATGATCGAAATAGTATTTGCTGTCACGTCCTGCTTGTCTTGAAACTATAATTTTCGATAACATAGAAGAATCTAAGGATTATTCGGGATTATTATTTTGTCCGTCAGTTTGGGTACCACTTAATATAAGCACATTGGAGTGATTCAATTAGCCGGCGACGCTAACTTCGGGGATTTTACCCCTTTCGTTTCACCTCGCGACGCTCCTGCTTTTGTGGATTGTTATATTTTCAAAGTAACCCTACAAATATAGTACTTAAAAAATCGCATTTTTGGTATACCATCATTGGTGGTTAGTGATAATGGACCGCAATTTACTTTCTATATGTTTGAATAAGTTAACACATAAAAAGGTAGCACTTTTTTGCATGCTTAATTATAAATTAATAACCGTTTTCCAAAATTCATTGTTTTTTCTTCTCAAATGGGCGACATACAAGTTATCCTGCTTTAGATTCTTTTTCAACAGACTTGTGCCCTTTGTAAAACTTCTCTCCAACACGACCTCGGTTCCCAAACGACCCTCAAACCTTCAGCCCCAAACTACACACACCTATACATACGTCGATCTCCTGCGTAAAGATTTCATCTCCGAGGACTAAACATTTTATTCACTCTATTGCTCAGGTGTTTATAATTCTTCCGTATACGTAGGTCGAACTGAACGCTCTTTCTATACCACGGTGTTGGTGGTCGCACTTCTGCGAAACGGGGAATAGGTCGTAAAGGTAAAAGTCGTAAAGAAACTAGTGACTTACACATATTCGGAGTTACGAGGTATAGGCGTTAAGACGAATTCCTTTAAAGTTCTAGGTTTAAAGGAAGTTAGCTGCTTATTTGCAGCAGAATGGTAAAACTGTTTTTAAGGCTAAACCTATACGTAAAATATTGTTCTCGTGTCGTATAAATATATAATACCTAAATCTCTTTTTGTTTTTATAATTTTCAGTATTCATTGCCATCCCTCTCACTCGCCCTCGCATTAATCGCCAAATTAGGAAATTAGGAACAAAGTGTAATGCCTTATTGTTAGAATCGAGTTAAATGCACATACAACATTCTTGATCTGAAGAAAAAGTGTGTGTAGTAGGTATATCTTGAGTTCTTAATTTTAGAAACATCATGACTACAGGCAAGAGAGATATTTTGAAGAAAGATTAGATGGTAATCTTCCATTAAACACAAAATTGTTTCAAATAAAGAATTACTTCTTAACTAAACTCATATTTTGGAAGTTGAAAATCTGTTTCTTAATTATCTCTTGACAGAAGAACTTTAAAATTTTGGCTCAAAATCAAACATTTAGAGAAAATTTTTTTGAGTGAGCAATTAATACAAGCAGTAGTTTAGCATTAAAACTATAGCGGCATTGAATTTATTATGGCACTTTACCCATGCGAGTACCTGGTAATGCTACACAGTTTCAATTTAATTAACAAGTTATAAATGCAACAATTAATTTCAAACTTGCAATTTAGTAACCAATTAATATAGATGGTGGTTTAGCATTGAAACTATAGCGACAATAAATTTATTTAAGGCAGTTAGCTTTTGTAAATTAACACGCAATTTTTTACAGCAATTAATTCGAACGTGTAGCTTGTTATTATCAATTAGTTAGCAAAAAATTCTATACAATCGTGATTGGATTATCTCATGTCTAAACACATTTAGCCCATTTGTGGGAGTTTGAGCCTAATGTTAAGCCAGCACCTCCTAGTTTGTAAAATAAATTCTCGCAAATGGGCGGAGAAATGAATACCACACTACATCTACTAAAATTCGATGGTGGGGGTGCTAAGTTTCCGAAAATATGAAGTCCGTCCCGTGTGTGTGGTACATTTTGTCTTTTATTCCGGAAACGCACAACGTCGAACTTTATTAAGCAAAAATTCGAAAATTCGCTGCTTAATGAACTATCAAAATGGTGGTTTGAATTTGGAGACGAATAAAGGTTACACCCAATGGAAATACACAGAATAGGCGTGCAAAAAGAAATTTTAAATGTTGATTTGAGCACAAGAATTCTATGTCCAGATTTTGTGTCCATAAACAATGTTTACTTCCACAATTTTTATAACGTCAATGTTTTGGGTCTAATAATAATCTTTTTAGTTATACCTAACTGTTGCGCACTACTGACCTATCCGACTGAACCTTGTTCTTTGAGGCATCCAGGACTTGTGGCACGTAGGCGTCTAGCCTCTGGTTGTTTATTCACGAAAATGAAATAAACTAAAGACTGCCGCGTGGTTTCTAACTAGATTCGTGAATGAAATGGGGGTTGGGCACGGGAAACGAAATGGCGGCGCTATTTCGCTCCGATTTCGATTTAAAAAGACGCGCGTAGTTATCATTGCGTGTTAACGCGTAAAATTGTTAAGCATCTAAATTAATGTTTGTTCTAATAACAAAAATGAGGTCAAGTCTACGATCACATTCCCCACCGCGATTCCGTCTGTATACTCAATTTCTGACCTTTCCAATAGGACTCGCGTTGTCGTATGCGGCCGTGTTTTAATTAAAATGTCAGGTGCTTTGAGAGGTAATAATAAGCGCTTCTTTTGTTTGCAGGTGAAGATGAGCATGGATAGCGGTGACTGCGAGACGGAGGAAGACTCTGCTCCAGAGGCGTGCGTGTCCCCGGAAGGCCCCTTGTTGCCAAGGTGAGTCCTCGGCGACTGAGGACGGACTGTGCTGTTGCGCAGTTTCGTCTCGGCCGTTGAGTTATCCGCGCGCGCTTTTAACGAGATTTGCGAACTACCCGCTCATTTATTTTCCATAGTGTTGACTTTTATTGGTGTTTTTACTCGTAGTTTTAAAATGTTAGTGTTAGAAGTTTGAATTTTATTATTAGTGTCATGTGTAACAACTACAGTATGACGTCGTCATCTTGGTATCCGTTACAGTCGGGTTCGACTTACAATTTCGTCATGGATACACCGGCTAGGTTAGTGCTTTCATGTCGCTTTGGAAAAACTGAGCGCAAACAGCCCCAAGTTGTGCGAAAAAGTAAATGTTTGAGAAGCGCTTCTAAAACGCGTATATTTATCATGTGGCCTTCGCTCGTTGCCACAAAAGCTATTTCGCGACTCAAACATAAACATCGTCGTACGAAGTTTCCAATCGCTTTTGGCCAGGAGAAACGCCGAAAATTCGCAACTTGTTGATGTTTGTGATACTTTTCGCTGTTCACAAACTAGGTCAAACTTGTACCTCTTCGTGATTTATTACTTTCCAATGATAAGAGTTTGGGATAAGTAAGCAAGCAGCTTGTTTATCTCGTTCGTGATGTAAGCGGTGAACTTTGATATCAATTAAAATTTATTTAAACAAAATGTACTTACCAATAATAAACCAAAACAACCCACTTAACATGTCACTTGGTTGAAAACCAGGGATTTTTTGCATTGTCCAGGTGTTCACGCATCCCAATTTTTGTATGGACATCCTTGCACCTTTACCTACCACATTACCTCCGAACCCCTCCAATATTTTGCACGATTTTACCAAACTCCAAGAATTATGATCGCGCATTTTCTCCACCAAGTGAAGGTAAATTTGTTAGACTTGGAGAAGTCTTTTCGGAAGAAAGTACTACCCAAATCGCATGTTTTCACAATTACGCAATAGTTCGTTTTCGCATCTGGGAAATTGGCCTCAAGTGTGGTACTATGCTTTGGCTTGATCTACCGTATCCAGAAAAACCCCAGGCACCGAGCCTCGCACCAAATGGGGAACAAGTACTGAAATGAGGTCTCCTTTCGATGTCTTCACGGCAAGTTCTCCTGAACGTCGGGTGGAGCAGGCTGTCCTTAATGCTTTTGCAGTCTATCCACCTTTTTCTATGATTTTCACTGGGCCGTTTGCCCCCTATCTGCAGATCCTCATCTTCGCGACATCCAATTTCTTTTTTTGAATCTTCTTTGTTCTTCTTTCTCTGCGCTTATTGCATGAGGCTCCGATGGTCTTCCTCCACCCCCCTGTGTCATGTGGTTGACCTCCCTATCAAGATTTCCATTTGCTTTGACGTACGATCCAAGATATTTGCAGTCCTACATCCTCGTATAACTTATTCATTGTTACTTTAGAGGTATTCGCTCTTCCTTCTACTAACTTTAAAACCCTCGTCCAACGCTCCAGTATTTCTTAAACCTTTGCCAGACATTCCGCCTGAAGGAATGACGTCAGTGAACAAGCCTTCCCGTGAAGACAATTCCTTGACATCCTCTGTCAACACATCCATCACCGGACCCTGGTGCAAGCCCACAGTCACGTTTCTCCAACATCTATGTAAGAATAAACAAGGCGCCTGTTGCTATCCTTTCAGCCGTGAAACCCAACTCGGCATTCTGTCTATGATTCGTTTCCGAGGGGGTTGATTAATACAAATAACATAATATCTAGTCACATATCCCACAAATCATTACGATTATCTCTGAAATAGTCTTTCCTCAACTGTTCAGAATTTGATGTGTGCGAGGCTTTGAACAGGGAAAAAATTCTGAATCCCTGTTGGAAATACTCGGCCAAACCCGATTTCCTTGTAAATATGCTCTACCAACCCAACCCACTATACCTCGCACTATGCACTTACTAATATCCCTGCCCTACCTCGGATTTGGCCCAAGAACCCTTAGTACCGCAGTCCAGATTTCTGGAAGAAAAAATTATTTCAGGGTGGACAGATTCATTTTTCTCGAAGATTGTTTTTTTACTGTTTTTTGCTTCTTTATTCTATAAATAGCAGGAGACACAAATATTTAATTTTAGAGAGGATATAATATTACAAACATTTCGAAAAGTTGAAAGTACAAAAATACTTATTTAAGCAATCCATCATACCTAGGTATTTACCTCCTTGCTTTTGCGATTTTATACAGACGTTTCAAGCACAGTCAGGCGATATCTTGCAGGTTTTGTCATTCTGCGGTAAAATTTTTACAAAGATTCTTATCCATAGTGGCGCATTTGGCCATCATTGCAGTTGGAAATGTTTTTCGAATTGTCTCACATCCGTTATCCATGTTCAAAAACCATGCCCCAACGTTTTGCAGACATCGGACTTCCCGTTGATAGCCAGTTATTTGATACTTGATACTGAAACAAATAAAAAAAAGTGCAAAGATTTATTTGTCCAAATAACCACCCAACGATGTTTAGCTTTTCTTTTTAATTTTTCGAACTTTAAATGCTACTTGATAAAGGACGGACTGGTCTCCACTCACAACACTACATCACGATATTCTTCAATTTGTATACCTCGTTGTATACAATTAATGCGATACAATTAAAATGTACCAAGGCAAAAAGGTGCCCTGGGTATGGAGTATTGTATAAAAGACATTATATTCCTGGAAGAGTCGCTGATGGAAGGTTGGTAAAGCCTTGGGTCAATGTAGTTCGGAAACCTCCACAAAAATCTATGATATTCGTCTGAATCGAGGCCTGATGATTATCCACGGGCTGCCACGGAAATCAAAAGACTGTAGATACCCTCTTGAGTAATGGCTTCGCAGTAAAATATTAAAAAAAAATTCGCTAAGCCGCTTGTGAGCAAGAGGCCAAGAGTGCACTTTCAAATTTGTATTTTGGATTTTAATATCGTTCCATCGCGACTTCATTACTAAAACGTTTATGCAATTAATAATAATCACTAAGCTATTGCTGTAATCACAGACTTCAGATTTGCTATTATGTCTGCGTAACTTGATGATAATTCTGGGTTTCTGAACTTCGAATTTTTCTATGCACTTTTTCATTTAATTTCTCTCTCAATTTTTCTCTTATATTTGAATTTCTATGAAATTTCGTAATTTTTCATTGCTTTTCCGAATTTTCTTGAATTTAAATGTTTGTGCTCTCAAGAAAACTCAACCTACGGTAAATTAATTCGCTCCGGACAATTCGCCTCCGGAAGATTCGTTCCCGGAAAACATACCCCGGAAGATTTCCCCAAAGAAATTTCTCGCCGGGAATATTCGACTAAAGATTCACTCCCAGAAGTAAGTATTCGCACGTGGAGAATTCACCACCGCTGGAATCATCTCTCGCCGGTAACCCGGTATTTGACACAACTGTTAATGTGTAGCCTATGTCAAATTGTTGAGTGAGTCTTATAATGAGATGCACTTCTAACTGCCAGAGTTTACCCTTAAGAACACTCGCCCCAGACAAATTCCATCCAAGGAAAAAAAACGCATCTTCGCTATATAGTTGCTCAATACAGCTGAGTGCGCCGTCAAATTTAATAACGGTTTAGGGTTACATATCGGTTAATATCTATACCGTAACGATTGTCGCAACTCGCAACAATTTGCAATTTTCGTGATTCCTAATTGAGTAAGAGTGCATATAGGAAATATAGCATGCATTTTCGGCAACTTTTATATGTGATTGGGTTTGGAAACCCGACCCTGTAAGTTTGCCCTGCAAGGTTGCCCCAGATTATGCGTCACCTGAAGCAGTCCCCACTTGCGGAGGCGAAACTATCTTCCTGGGGGAGAATTTAACGGGGCGAATTTACCGCACACGGACCTGCCTTGTTCAATAAAAGCCCGCGATTGTGATTTTCCTACGAAAACTCCGCAAGCCTCCACTAGCGGAAGTGTGGTAAATTGACGGGCGGTATTATATAAATCACACTCGACTATGTTGTCAGCTAAAAATGTTGTTAAGGGTTGTAATCTTTTTGCAAGGAATGATGTTATTCTTTGAAAAAACATCCAATCACATGCCTTAACAACATTGTTAGTGGACAGCATAGTTAAGTATACCTTATAATACCGGCGGTAAGCCTATAGGTACGTTCCGTTTCTCTTACATTGCAACGACTATAACCTGAAAACGTTGTGTCAAAAAAATAGACATACATGTATGATTTTATTCTAAAAATCAAATGGAGTTATTTAATTATAATTATCATAGTAAGCAAATTATAATTTAAGCTTAGGTATAAGTTAATTTATAGTGGAATGCGCCCAACTACCGCCTTGGTACCGAAAAATTGAGGAGTTTCTCACATAATTTATAGGAGCAAAAAGATAATTCCTTGAGTAGGTATTTTTTATAAGAATAAATAATAAATGATGGCAAGTATTTTTAAGTTACTTATAAATAAGGTAATTTACATGGACTGCGATTTCCAACACCCTCAATTTCTGCGGCTGCAATAATTTCAAAATTTGCATTACGCATAAGATTTCGGATTACGTCTTGCGTCAGTGATTTCGGTGGTGTGATTTCGTTGACTGCCTTCAAAAACAACATAATTTCGGTTTCTTGCCAAAAATTGATCAAGATATTCAGAATCTGCCCTCGTCTCACAAATTTCGTTTCATTTTGGAAAATCTCAAGATAGTGTTGAAGACGACCATCAAAATTACGTACGTCAATAGTTAGGCAACTTATAAAAGGACATGTCCCTGACATTCTCAACATAAAACTTGTTATTGGTCGTTAAAGTGAGCGTGACAAATACCTAATCGCTTGCAAACAATGATCATCTGGATCGATACACCCCATAGTTCATTGTACCTGCCATAAAATGCACATTGACACACAAACGTTACGCCTCGACAATAAAAGTGCATTACAGGTGTCTCGCCTTCGACTCAAATTACACGCACAGCTGCTGCTTTTTAACTGCATTTCCATAATAAAAGAC